GTATGCATATAAGATCTTTGGTGAATCTCTTCCCGCCCTCCCGCAACCCCTTCCCTCTGAGATTCATGAGGCTGTTCCATGTTTCCATGCCTGTGCGTTGAGCCTCTGCCCCCTGGTGCTCACTGCTTATCATAGCACTGGTCCAACTTTCGCTTAGGCTTTTATATATTTACATGTTATGTGCAATAAACATTAATATTTCAAGAAAAAATTTTTAAATATAACTAGAGGCCGGGTGCACGGATTCGTGCACCAGCGGAGTCCCTCGTCCTGGCCTGGGCCCTCTCACAGTCCAGGACCCCTCAGGGCAAGTCGCACTGCCGGTTTCAACCCGATCCCTGCAGGTAGGCTGAGGGACCCAACCGGGGGCCTCTAGTGTGCATATAAGATCTTTGGTGCATCTCTTCCCGCCTTCCCCCTTCCTCCTTCCCTCCGAGATTCATCTGTCTGTTCCATGTTTCCATGCCTGAGCTTTGAGTGTCTGACCCCTGGTGGTCAGTGTGCATCATAGCACTGGTCCAAGGGTAGCTTAGGACTTTATATACACTGAGTGGCTAGATTATTATTACCACCTGATGTTTGTAGGCAAATAAGCCATACACTGCATTGTTTGGGATATGGAAGCTGAAGGCCTGGTCGAATGCCTTTGCTGTCTGCAGTTACCAAGATAAAACATCTCCAATTTGCACAGGAACACAAGGATTGGATAGTTGAGCATTGGAAAAAAGTCATGTGGTCAGATGAATCATGTTTCCAGTTGCATCATGCAGATGGCAGAGTGAGGATTTGGTGGAAACAGCATGAAAGCATGCACCCAACATGCATGAGTACAGCCCTTAAGCTGGTGGGGGCAGTGTTATGGTTTGGGGCATGTTTTCCTTGGCATGATTTGGGCCCTTTAATTCATGTGGAACAACATCTAAAAAAAAAATATCTTAAAAATAGTATTAAATAAATCCGAGAGGCAAGCACACTTTCTGCTTCATCCGCATTTCTGCAGTAAAACTTTGCCTTAAAACTCCACCCCTGAAATTCCATCCTGCCTCAGTGAGCAGACACTCCTTTTGTGATTGGCTAAGTCAGAGGGAGAGGCCTTTGCTGTTCCAAGATGGCGGCCCCCAGGGGAGCGGCAGGCCATGCGGCCAACATGGCGGCTGCCAAGTCACGCAGCTCAACATTGTGGCTCTCAACACTGTTCTCTGACAGAAAAGATGATTTCCTTATTCTCATAATAAACAAGGGACGAGCAAACCAAAATCCCTAAAAGATAGATGGCCAACATTATATTGCAGACAAGCAGAAATCCCATTAGCTGTTTATACCTTTTATAATTATTTTAAAGAATATCAATTAAATTTAAACTGGTTTTTGTATTAAAAAATTTTCAGTTGAGATCATAAAATCAGTCCTCTTTTTTAATCAGACCAATAAGCAACATATTTTGAACTCCTAATCATTTAAGAGAAAACACATTTTATTTTTTCAAAAACAAGTTATACTTTAGATATTTAATTAATTTCTCCCAGTTCAATTTGCACTTTAAACTTTCAGAGCTTTAAATTCTAGGTAGCAAATTAAACACTTAGCATTTTTTCAAATCAATACTTTTACATTTAAGGATACATTTCAAATAAAATATAAGGCATTTTTAATTAATAGATTAACTTCTATCTAGACTTCATACTAGGCATACTCAGATCAACATTTCAGTATTATAAATCTCTGAAAGGGCGAGACCTCAACCTAGAGGCCCTGATGCCCAGCGCTCCCCGCGGTCGGTCCCGGCGTTCCCCGCAGCGGGCTCCCGCCAGCCCGTCCCCGCCTGTCTCCCGGCACCGGCACTGGGTTGGCCGCCCCCGGTCTAGTTTCCTGCCCGGGAAGGCAGAGGGCCGCGGAGAGGGGGCAGGCCAGAGGGCTCTGGGGGAGCAGGGGCAGCACCAGCCCCCTCCAGCAGGGGAACAGCGCCCCGGGCTCCTGGGTGCTGGGGAGCGGCCTGCGGGCCTTTGCAATATTGGGGGGCCAGGCAGGCAAGTCCAACTCAAGGGGAAGGACCTCCTTCCGTGCTCAGGCCTCACCAAGCTTTTATTGCTCTGGGATGGACCCATAGCATAGCCCTTAGGCAGGTGACCCCTGGCAACAGGCAGACTAGCCCATCAGCAAGGATTTACATAATAATAAATGGGGGGGAGTAGTTTCAGCTACCACTGTCTGGACAAACAGAGGTGGCGCCTAGCTGACCTCTGCTAGGGCTTCAAAGGCACCCAGCCTTGGGGGGTGGGGGTGGGGGTTCTCTGTCTATGCTTATCAGATAGTGAAGACAATAAACTGTTTCCCACACTTACTTCTCCTCTTTCATTTCTGATTTTATCTATTTGGGTCCTCTGTTTTTCTTGATGAATCTAGTTAAAGGTTCAACAATCTTGGCACATGCACAAGAAATGAAACTAGACCACAAACTTACATCATACATGTGAATACACTCAAAATGGTTAAAAGACTTATATGTAAGTCACAAAACCATAAAAATCCTAGAAGAAAACATAGGCAGTAAAATCTTAGACATCTCTGGTAGCAATATTTTTGCCAATTTATCTCCTATGGCAATGGAAACGAAGGAGAAAAATAAACAAATGAGACTACATTAAACTAAAATGTTTTTGCACAGCAAAAGAAACCATCATTAGAATGAAAAGGGAACCCATTGTATGGGATAAGATATTCGCCAATGTTGCATCTGATAAGGAGTTAATTTCCAAAGTATATAAAGAACTCATGCTACTCAACATCAGGAAGACAAACAATCCAAATAAAAAACTGACAAAGGACCTGAATAGACACTTCTCCAGAGACGAAATACAGAGGGCTAACAGACATACAAAAAGATGCTCAACATCACTAATCATCAGAGAGATGGAAATTAAAACCACAATAAGATATCACCTCACACTTCCTAGAATGGCTATCATAAAAAAAATCAACAAACAAGTGCTGGTGAGAACTGGAGAAAAGGGAACCCTTGTGTATTGTTAATAGGAATGCAAACTGGTGCAGCCACTATGGAAAACAATCATAAAGTTTCCTAAAAAATGTAAACTAGAACTGCCTTTTGACCCAGCGATCCCACTTCTGAGACTATATGCTAAGAAGCCCAAAACACCAATTCAAAAGAATATATCCACCCCTATGTTATTGCAGCATTATTTACAACTAGAGGCCAGGTGCACAAAATCTGTGCACGGGTAAGGTCCCTAGGCTCTGCAGGCAATCAGGGCTGATCTGTGGGCAACCGGCGGGGCAATCAGGAGGCGCCCCCTCTGGCACCCGCCTTGGCTGGCCTGGGGTCTGCGGGCTGGGGGCAGCTCCTGTGTTGAGTGTCTGCCCTCTGGTGGTCAGTGCATATTGTAGCTACCGGTTGTTCCACCATTCAGTCAATTTGCATATTAGGCCTTTATTGTATAGGATAGCCAAGATCTGGAAACACCCCAAGTGCCCATCAGTAGATGAGTGGATAAAAAAGCTGTGGTTTATACAATGGAATACTATCTGAGCATAAAAAGAAGGAAATCTTACCTTTTGTGACAGTATGGATGAACCTGGATATTATTATGGTAAGTGAAATAAGCCAGCCAGAGAAAGACAAATACCGTGTGATCTCACTCATATGTGGAATCTAATCAACAAAATAAACTGATGAACAAAATAGAAACAGGGGCATGGATACATGGAACAGACCGACAGCTATCAGAGGGGAGGGGAGAAGGGGGAACTGGATGAAAGAAGGTTAAGGGATTATCCATAAAACATAAATACATAACACCTAGACACAGACAACAGTGTGGTGATACCCAGAAAGAAAGAGGAGTGGGGGTAGGTTGTGTATATGTGTATATGTTCCCCCACATCCTGAGTGGTTCAGGGTTCAGAATCTGAAAGAGGGGCCGCACACAAATTAAAGATACTAGACAAGAGATAATAATTTGGAAATTGGGGGGCCAGGCGAGAGCCCATCCCAAGAGTATGGACTCCACTTGTGCTCAAGCCTCACCATCTTTTTATTCAGTTTGGGATCCACCCATAGCCCTTAGGCAGGCAAGTTCCAGTAACAGGCAGACTCCCTTATCAGTAAGGATTGACATGACTATCTGGTGGGGAAGTTGCTTCAGCTACCATTGTCTCCACTAAACAGTGGGTGCATAGCCCTGACCTTTGCCAGGGCTTCAAGGGTCACCAGCATTCCAGGTTCCTTGTCCACACCTCTCTGCTGGAGAAGACAATAGGCAGCTTCCCACAGTAGGTGGAGGTGGGCAAAGGGGGGGTTGGAAATGGGATTGGAAAGAGACTTTGCTTTGGGAGATAGGCACACATGCAGTGTGCAGATATTTTATTGAGTTGTACACTTGAAACCTGTATGGTTTTTCGAACAAATGTCACTCTAATAAATTCAATTAAAAAAAAATGTGAATGGGTAAAAAAAAAAAATCTCCCCTCTGCACTTCATAAAAAGTTATTCCTGAGAGCAGGAATAAAGTGGGGACATCGTGCCCCACTTACAACTCCTTTATAGTGTATGGGACAGATGTAACGATTTAGTTACCTAACTCCTAAGTTAGTCCCCCTCTAAAATACGCAGACCGTCTGTGTCATTAAGGGTGGCCAGGGGCTGTGGTTCCTTTCTTGTCCTGTGATTCCTGCGACGCAGGAGTGGAACCCACCCGGGTGACCTCAGGGGTAGGAGTGAAGCCACCAGATGCGGCGACAGCACCCAGACTACCTGCACCGCTGATCGCTGACCGGACTACAGACCAGGTTGGACGGGGTAGCACCGCCCAGGAAACGTGACCCCACGCCGGGGCTCCCCTTCCGGTCTCAACACCACCCAGCTTCCGGCGGAGCGCCCACATCAGCTTGGACTACTGGGTCTGGCTTAGCCCGTAACAAAGCGGGACGGGGTAGCCCCGCCCACGCGGGCAGAGCGCCAGGGCGGAGCTTCCGGTTACCAGCCCGCCAGGCGGAAGAGGTGCGCGCTTCTCGCTGTGTGCGAGGTGGCCGCACACGCCTCCGCAGTTCACTGCTGGACCCGTCCCTTCCGGGCCCGGTCCGGGAGAGCCCGAGGAGCGCGGCTGCCTCTCCTTGCGGGACGCAAAGCGACACGCGGAGTTGAAGTTGGCGGGTGAGTCTGGCGGGGCTGAGGGAGGCGGCACCCCAGGCGGGGCACTGAGGGGCCGGGGGTCGGGCGGGAGAAAGAGAGAGGGAAGGGAAGGGCCGCGGAAAAAGTGTTCTGAAGACCAAGGGAAGGAAGTCTCCGCAAGAGCGAAGTGTTCCCCTCGGTTAAATGCCATTGAGATGCCTTGAGGGATATTAAGGCCCAGATGAGGGTATTGGGTTTGGCTAAGAGCAGTTTGTAGGGACATCGTGCCCCACTTACACTGAAGCCCGGAAAGTTTCAGATTTGGCAGTAGAGACATCGTTTATAGCAGTGGTTCTCAACCTTCTGGCCCTTTAAATACAGTTCCTCATGTTGTGACCCAACCATAACATTATTTTCGTTGCCACTTCATAACTGTAATGTTGCTACTGTTATGAATCGTAATGTAAATATCTGATATGCAGGATGGTCTTAGGCGACCCCCGTGAAAGGGTCGTTCGACCACCAAAGGGGTCGCGACCCACAGGTTGAGAACCGCTGGTTTATAGAGCTGAGACATGTTTACTGTCCTCCCGTTACCTGCTTTCAGGATAATGAATTAGTCCCTTAGAATTTCAAAAGGTAAGTAATTAACCCAAAACAAACTCTTGGGCTTTATAGGTTCATTAGTTTAGATCTATGGCAGATAGTATTCTTTTTGATGTTTAAAATGTCCCATTTTGGGGTCTCTGCCTCCAGACCTACCACGTCCAGTCCATACTAACTGATTACTAAGTAAAGAGTAAGGGGTGTAAGGGAACAGTCAGAAAGCTGGTGTGATTGTCCAGGTGCCGGAGATTGAAACCTAAACCATTCAGTACCTTGGAGCTTTAGGTCATTTGTGGATGAGCATAAAGTACAACCAACCTCCACATCCGAGTATGATGGAGTAGCTTATATCACACTAACCCTCCGATCGATAGTGAGTATAAAAGCTGAATAAAATACTTAAAGCAACTGAAGGTATTAGAGAAAAATCAAGTCAGACAGGACTTGAAAAAGGAAATTGCTGGAGAGAATGTGGGAGCACTTAGGCAAGTCCCACATTTGCGTGGGCTTCTTCCCCCTTCCCCCCTGAATATTTGCTAAGTCTTAGATGGAGACCAAGCTGAAAGAGGTGGCCAGGGCTTGTGGCATTTCAGTTGAGCTGGGAAGAAGGAAGTTGGAGTTCACAGATGCCGTGGCACCTGAGATATGATAGAGAAGTTTCAGCTCATGAAGGCCAGGGACTCTTGTCCTGTAGAGTATAAAAATTCCCATCACATATGCAAAAGGCTGTTTGATCACCAGAAGCAGAAGGAGCATGAGCCCTGGCCTCTGGTAGGAAACACAGCAGGATCGTGAAGGACTGAGACTAGTTGGTAAAGATGCCTGTTTACTTTATTCTAATTAGGAGGCAGGAGTCCAGCCCTGGACTCTGGTGCTGCAGGGGGTGGGCGTCTTCGGGGATGGGGAAGACCACTCTGACCAGGAAGGGAGTGCTGGACTGGGTGGAAGGAATGCTCTACTATGACAGGTTCCATGAAGTCCTCCATCTGAGCTGCAGAGAACTGTACCAGCTGATAGAGATACAATTTGCTGATTGGATTGCCATGATTGGCCTAGCACCCAGGCCTCCATCCAGAGATCCTGGCCCAGGCAAGAAGCTCTTGTTCTTCCTAGATGGGGTTGATGAACTGAGGAGCACACAGAGGATCTGTTAAGATGGGGCAGAGCCTCGGCCGATGCCCCTCCTACTGAGCAGATGGTGTGACCCCACAGCCACTGCCCAGACCACCACAACCCCCTTCATGCATTCTCTCTCATGTACTCAGCCCAGGTGTCTGGGTGGCCTGAGGATCTGAGGGGCCCATGCTGTTTAGCTGCTGAGAGAATCTGAGAACAGGAAATCCTGTGTAATAAATTTCAGACACATGAACTAGACTTACTATTTCCTGAATGTAAATATGAAGTGTTTCAGAAAGATGATGACTTTGAAAACTAGTTTTATCCACTTGAATATCAGGGGTTTGGGCAACTATTTTTTACTCTCAGGGAATAAACAGGAATAAAATATATTCATATCTCTTCCTTTGGAGATCTGAAAAATCTACTTGAAAACTTTGAAAGGCACAATCCAGTGTTCAACCTTAACAGTAATTTCTTCTTTGACCTCCAAAGGTGAAAAAGTTCTCATATAAGATGTCACAGAGTTATACAGTTGAAATTACTGCAGTGAGTAGAAGGACAAGGAAATCAACATTTTCATGCAGTAAACACTTACCTAGTTCTCTGAGGCCCAAAATGAGGAAGTTTGTGAAACAAGCAATGGATTTGCCAATGGGCATACCAGTGTACCAGTCCATTAATATTTTTTCCAAATTAAATGTCCAGAGTTTTGCTTTCCATATTAAGCACTGTCATTTTGTGCAGACAATAGCTCTAAATTTACAGGGAGTATTCAGGTTAATTTTTTTCTCCATGCTTCCTCCCAGCTTCCTGAGCTCCCGCTGTTCTTTTTCCCCATGAAGATCCATGAGACACTCCTCAGGTGAGTTTTAGTCCATAGCTCATACTTCAGTCTTAGAAATAAGTCCAGGCCTATTTAGAGGAATCAGTAACAGTGACCTCTGCTCCTGCCTACCTGTCTGATGGATGACCTCCCTCCTGAGAAAATCACATCCTGGGCATGCTGAGGCCTTGGGTTTCCCCAGATGGGCTCTTCTCATCATTCTCGGATTTCTAGGATGTCACCACTTAGTTTAATGGAAATCTATCCCCTGGGAGCCAGGAGAACCGAGTTACTGCATGAATCTACTTTTTTTTTTCCTGCAGTTTATCCAGTCACTTTCCCAGGGCCTCACTGAGCTGCTGTGTAGCTCCAGTGGCAGTTGTCCAAAAATTCCCAGGACTGAGGGGTTTCCCAGGACACAGACTGGAATGCCAGAGCAGTCCCAGGCAAACTGGGACAAGTTGGTCCTCCTCTTAACAGTGGAGTTTGTGGTCTGTGAACTAGTACATGTGTGAAGTTCTTTTCCTTTTTAGGAAATTCTGGCTGTTAACAATAAATGTGGGAAGGTATCTGAGGAAACAACTCCTGTAATTAAGTGACAGCTTCATGTAAGCCTCTCTTCTCGGAGACGGGGAACATTAGAGCAAGAACTCTCTCAGAGCCTTATCTCCCCTAGGTATGACAGGATTTTGTGTCGTTGGATAGTAAACTGTCCTTGAAGCTAGTGTTTTTAATGCCATGGTCCCATGTTTTTCTCTTCATTTGTTGCTGAGCCTTGAGGAAGTCTTGTTAAAGTGGGCCAGTGCAGTGACAGCTGACAGATGTGGCACTAAGAGCTAGAAGAAGTGGTGACATGTGGCCCCTTAGGCCTTCCTGAGTGTAAGAGGCCGTGGGGCTACAGGAAGGCCTGACCCCACTCCAAGTCATGTAAAGGACATGAACTTTGCTTGCACCCCAGTTCTTGTGATCTAGGCAAGCAGACATTTTGTCATAGCAGCTGTTTGTCATAGCAACTGTCAAACATAGATGGAACTAGACAAAGCTTGCTCAGTCTTGCCCAGTCTGTAACGATCTGCTACTTCCCCATCAGAAGCCAAGCCCTAACAGTGATCTATGAAGCATGACCAGCCACAGCTTAGCTATAAAACAGTGTGTGTGAAAAAGTTAAAGTTGCTGATGTCTTGTGCCAGTCCTCCTAAACCCCGGTCTCTGGTGCTTTCATCCCACGCCGCCATTACCCTACGGGACCATTTGGGAGTGGGTCTCCACACCTGAGATCTGCCAATTCTGGTCACTGTTGAACTCATAATCATCTCAGATTTTTCACTTTTAGCTAAACATGATGTGCTTAATTTTCATTTTTACTGAGATGGTTTTCCCTCATAGTTAGTGTTTTAATGTTATGGGTGTCTTTTTTAATTATTGCTTCCTTTTTTTTCATTTTTTAAAATTTTATCCAAAAAAAATAGATTGCTCTCAAAGTTATTTTATGTCTCTCTGTAATTACTTCTGTGAGAAGGATCATCTTCTCCAGACACCTTTTCATCTGAAATCAGTAGCTATTCTTTCTTGTATTTTGGTGACCAAACACAAGAGTTTATTTCATCCAAATTACTTCAAAACCCAGGAAACAAGTGTGCTTTAGGAAATAGGTAAACTGAACTTTTTTAAGGCTACGTTTGTTCATAGAAATTCTTTGAGGTTCTTACAGAAAGCTTTGCAGTGCAGTTGTTTGCCTATTAAAGTCAACAGTTGACTTCCAGTGTTCTACTCGTGATGGACGTTTCCTCTTCTTTCAGGATCACCTAAGTGGGTCGGAGCATCCTGAGCACTAGGTCATGGTGGAGACGCCAGAATGAGAAGGCGCAAGAGTTCTGGTCCCCGTCGACCAGCCGCCCGGGTGACCCGAGCTAGGCCCAGGACAGGGACCACTGTGCCCACGGCTGCCTCTGCTCCCACCACTCCCACCCCACTTCGCCCACAGAGGCCCCCAGCTAAGGTTGGTGTGACCTTTGAGGATGTCGCCGTGTGCTTCTCCAAGAAGGAATGGTTCCTCCTTGATGAGGCTCAAAGACACCTGTACCTCGAAGTGATGCTGGAGAACTATGACCTCATCTCCTCTCTAGGTTGCTGCTGTAGAACAGAGGATGTGGAGGCACCCACTGAACAGCATGTTTCTGTGAGAGTGTCACAGGCAAAGAATCCCAATGTAGCTTTGTCCTCCCAGAAGAGCCACCCCTGTGAGAGTTGTGGGCCAGTCCTGAGAGATATTTTCTACTTGGTTGAGCAGCAGGAAACACAACACAGCCAGAAACTGTTGAGGTGTGGGGCATGTGCTAAGCGGTTTTATTTCAGCACAAAGTGTCCCCAGCACCAGGAGCAGCACGTGAGAGAGACACCTTTCATAAGAGGTGTGGACAGGGCCTCACGTGCCAAGGGCTGCCATTTCAATGTGTTCCAGAAGCCTTTTACCTGTGGGGAGATTGGGCAGCATGTTCTCACCAGCTCAGGACATATCCAAGAGCAGGCTGCTCACACCACAGGTCAGCCAAGTGAAATGTCAGCATCTGGGGTGAGTTTTCAAAGGAGAAAAAATGATTACACCAGGAAAGAATGTAAGAAAGCCTTTGGCTGCAACCAAACACTTGCTCAGGACCATGGTGTCTGTACTGGGGTACAGTGTTTTACGTGCCTTGAATGTGAAAAATATTTTACAAAAATCACTGATCTCCATAATCATCAGAAAGTTCACACAGGAGAAAGGCCATACGAGTGCAGTGAATGTGGAAAATGCTTTAGACAACACTCCAACCTTATTCTACACCATCGAGTTCATTCTGCAGGAAAGTCTCATGAGTGTGGCAAATGTGGGAAATCCTTTAGCCAAAGTGCAAGCCTCATTCAACACCAGAGAGTTCACACTGGAGAAAAGCCATATGAGTGTGGCGAATGTGGGAAATCCTTTAGCCAAAGTGGAAGCCTCCTTCAACACCAGAGAGTTCATACTGGAGAAAAGCCATATGAGTGTGGTGAATGTGGAAAATATTTTACCAGAATCTCTGGCCTTTATCGTCATCAGAGACTTCACACTGGAGAAAGGCCTTATGAGTGCAGTGAATGTGGGAAATCTTTTATCACGAAGTATCACTTGCATTGTCATCAGAGATGTCACACTGGGGAAAGACCTTATGAGTGCAGTGAATGTGGCAAATCTTTTATCAATAGCTCTGGCCTCCGTTGTCATCAGAGATTTCACACTGGAGAAAGGCCTTATGAGTGCAATGAATGTGGAAAGTCTTTTATCACTAGCCCTGGCCTCCGTTACCATCAGAGATTTCATACTGGAGAAAGGCCTTATGATTGTAGTGACTGTGGGAAAGCTTTTACTTGTAGCAGTAGTCTCCGTTATCATCAGAGAGTTCACACTGGAGAAAGGCCTTTTGAATGCAGCGAATGTGGGAAATCATTTATCAGGAACAGTAACTTGCGTTGTCATCAGAGAGTTCACATGAGTAAGGCCTTATGATTGCAGCGAATGTGGGAAATCTTTTACCGAAAACAGTCACTTGTGTTGTCATCAGAGAGTTCACAATGAAGGAAGTTTTTTAGTGTAGGAAACATACAGGGTTTTTTTTGTTCATGTTAACAACACTGGAGGAAACAGACCCCATTTTTCTGATTTTAATCTCATACATCAAAATGTCAACAGTAGGGAGATTTTCCTTAAAGTTTAGTTATGTGGGAAACGTGTCTGTGTTGCACTTTCTAACCTGCCCAGAGTTCATGCCAGATTTATGTCACTGCAGATTTCTGTGGCCGAAGCTAACCACTTCCTAGTAGTAGGTCTCCATAGTTTGTATCAATCACCATCCTAATGTGTTCAGGTAAGCTAACTTTGTTCTCTGATTTGTTGGAGGAAATTAGGAGTAGCCTGAGCCTTTATGAGATCTGCATTTCTTCTATTCTGACTATCTTTGATAAATATTTCCATTGTCAAAGTCACCAGTGTAAGAACTGCCAGGTCCATGTCCTTTTGGTTTGTAAAATAATGAAGGCCCTTTTGTTTAAGTCCTCTTTAATCTTGGATGTTTTATTTACTGTATGGGGTAGGTTATAAGCAGGCTTGAGCTCTACAAGCATGAAGAGGTGAACAACTTTTATGGGGTCTCAAACTTTCTCTGCATCTGAGGGGACGGTGTAGTGCTGAAATTAGCTCACCAGTTTTTTCCAAATTTGCATTGCTGCCCACATCCTCCTAGGAAAGACTGCAGGGCTCTGTTACTCATGTGAAGCCTGGATGCTGTGAGTTTTAGGAGACAGAGGTCAGGTTCAAGAGGAGGCAGGTGAGCCTGACCTGCGTGGCTCGTGGTTGAGCATTGGTCAGGGTTCGATTCCCACTCAGGGCACATGCCAGGGTTGTGGGCTCCATCCCCAGTAGGAGTTCTGCAGGAGGCGGCCAATTGGTGTTTCTCATCATCGATGTTTCTACCTCTCCCTCTCTCTGAAATCAATAAAAATATATTTTAAAAAGGGGGGCAGGTGCAGGTGTGACAACCTCAAGTGTTTCTGGGAGCAGCATGATTTTTCCCTTGTTCATAGGTTATGCCAGTACTTTTGGAGGGAATCACTTTCAAAGATCTTGCAAAGGACTATGTGTCCTAATGTCTACAATTCCATACGTGATGGTCACTTGGGGTAGGACAATAAGGGTTAGGGGAAAGCATAATTGCTACAGAATCACGCCTAATAGGGATTGTGCATAATTCTTTATATGGAGATATGTTTCTTTTACCCTTGTCAATAACTCATAATGCATTGTCTGAGTCAGAGGATAGGTGAATGTTTAACTTAAAGAAATTAGGAAGTTGTCATTTAAGCCAATTGTACATTTTTGCATTCTTCCAGCAGTGTGTAAGGTATTCAGTTCCTCCACATCCTAGAGAAGATTTGGTTTGGTCATTCATTCTTTATGTAAACTTTTTTTATAACTTTGTCATGCTATCTCACTGTTGTTGGATTGCATCTTTCTAAGTAAGGGTTCACGGTGAACATTTTTTTCAGATGTGCATTTGCTATCTCTCTAGTAAAATGTCTGAGCATATGTTTTACCAAAACTATAAATTTTGGCAATTTTCTTTAACAAAAGGTCAGTGAAACAACAAAAATGAAGGTTAGAATTTCACTCATTTTGTGTCTTTTTTGCTTTATAGGATAAATATTTTTTGATACTGGAAAACAAATAAAATCAACAATTGACTCAAGATAAGGGTCTTACTTCATTCCTTTGGATGTGAATATCCAGTTTGCCCAGCACCGTTTATTGAAGAGAAACACTCCTTTCCTAACTGTGTATTATTGGCTCCTTTTTCAGAGAGGAGTTGGCTGTACATGCATGGGTCTAGAGCAGTGGTCTGCAAATTGGGGCTCGCGAGCCACATGTGGCTCTTCGGCCCCTTGAGTGTGGCTCTTCCACAAAATACCACGTGTGGGAGTACACGTACAGTGCGATTGAAACTTCGTGGCCCATTCGCAGAAGTCTGTATTTTGTGGAAGAGCCACACTCAAGGGGCCCAAGAGCCACATGTGGCTCGCGAGCCACAGTTTGCCGACCATTGGTCTAGAGGACTATTTGGAAAGAGGTCATTCTTTGAGACCACAGGGAGCTGCAGAAGTTATCAAGATGAGGCACTAAGGAGAAGGGGAAAATGAACCAGCTTGGAACCGATCTTCACAGTCAGTTTAGAGGAAGCACTGCAATGTGGAAAGAGCCCTGAGTTGAAATTTGTGCCATCTAGATGACCTTTCAAAGAATAGGAGCTCCTTCACCATGAGATAAATACTGTTTCTAAGAAGGTTTATTGAGCCTTTAAAATTGTAAGACAGTGGCTTACACACTTCTCATTTAGTTTCCTCCACATTGCCATGATGTATTAGTTCTGTTATCCCCATTTTTTAGAACAGGAAGCTGAGGCGTCGCAGGGTGAGCTAAACTGTCCCAAATCACAGCTAATATGTGACACAGCCATAGACTGCTGCTCGGAGCTTCTGGGTGAAAGACACTTTCTTTCTCTCAGTTCTGCTGCCTCATTGTCAGCCACCATCCTACTCTGTGTCTCTGTACCTCTCCTTCTGTCTCTATACTATGAAAACTGTGTTCTTGTCCATTTCTCGTAGGATATCTTCTCAGCCTCCTTTTGTAGTTAACAGTTTTCTGCCTCTAGAACAACATCCCATTCTTCACTGTGTATGATGAGCAAGTTCCTCTTTTCCTCTTCTCCTGCAGCCATTTTTCATTGCACTGTTCCCAAATGGCATAAGCACGGGAGCTCCTCCCTCTCCCTGACCTGGGGACCTCTGTGTGAGGTATGGGGCAGCAGGAGAGGACGGCAATGGTAAGGCCCCATCTTCTCACAGGTGGGCCCCCCTGCAGCACAGAGACAATCTCTCCAGAGACAGCATCCTGAGTCCAGCTGAACATACAAAAGGAAAGTTCACCTTTACCAGTAATCCCAGAATTTCTAATAAAACAGAAATGTGACACCATTTTCACTTGGCTCACCTCCTGATCCAGCAAAGATGAAAAGGCATGCTAATTTCCAGTATTGGTGTGGGTGTGAGCCAGGTGACATATGGGTTGTTCTTGGGATCATAAACTAATAAAGCCTCAATGGCTGACAGTTCAGCTTTTTAATTTTTTTAAAACCTTAAACACATGAAAAGAGAAAAACAAAGAAAAAACCCTTAAACGTATTTGCTTCCATTTCACCCATCAATCCAAATCCAACTATTCTCAAGAAATAACCAAATTGTAAAATGGACACTAAAAGATAATGATTATGTCATTGTTCATAATATAAAAAAATTGGGAGGAGCACATAAATACAAAAATGTTTTCAAAAGTAGATAAATTAGTTTGGGTACATCCATGTAATGGACTGCTTGCTTGCATTAGCACCACAGTTGACCCTTGAGCAACTTCAGGCTTAGGGCACTAACTCCCCCACTACTCCATAGCTAAAGATTTGGGTGTAACTGTTGACTCCCCAAAAGCTTAACTACAATCATACCTTAGTATCCACAGGGGATGGGTTCCAGGACCCCCTAGTGGATACCAAAATCCATGGTTGTTCAAGACCCTTATATAAAACTAGAGGCCTGGTGCATGGCTTTGTGGGGTCCCTCGGGCTGGCCTGTGCCCTCCCGCAATCCAGGACCCCTTGGGGGATGTTGGACTGCCGGTTTCAGCCTGATCCCCACAGGCCAGGCCAAGGGACCACATGCACCGGGCCTCTAGTATGCATATAAGATCTTTGGTTGATCTCTTCCTGCCCTCCTCCCTCCCCACTTCCCTCTGAGATTCATCAATCTGTTCCATGTTTCCATGCCTGTGCATTGAGTGTCTGCCCTCTGGTGGTCAGTGTGCATCATAGCTACCAGTCGAAGGGACACTTAGGCTTTTATATATATAGACTAGAGGCCCGGCACATGAAATTCGTGTACGGGGAGCAGAGGGTGTCCTTCAGCCCGGCCTGCACCCTCTCCAATCTGGGACATCCCTCTCACAATCTGAGACCACTGTCTCCTAACCGCTCGCCTACCTGCCTGCCTGATTGCCCCTAACCCCTTCTGCCTGCCAGCCTGATCGCCCCCTAACCACTACCCCGCTGGCCTGATTGACACCTGACTGCTCCCCTGCCAGCCTGATCGCCCACAACTGCCTCCCCCGCCACGACCCGCCTTCTCTGCCAGGACCCACCTCTTCTACGGGAGGCGGTAGAGCCACCAGGACGGGCCTCCGCCATGCCATGCAGATCCACAGGACCCCCAGGCCTCACCGCAGGGAGCAGCCGCTGGGCCCCGCCTCCACTATGCGTGTGGCCATCTTCTGACAGCCATCTTCTGACGACCTGAGGACGTGATGCCACCTAGGCTATTATTAGTATAGATGACATAGGACAGTGCCTACAGGCAGCCCTCCACATCTGCAGATCCCCAACATCAGATAGAAAATACTGTTTTTGATCCTCAGTTGGTTGAATCCATGAATACAAAACCTGGGGGTATAGGGCTGACTGTACTTATTGAAAAAAATCCACATATAAGTGGACCCACACAATTCAGATTTGATTTTCTGTGAGAAGCTTAAACGTAAATTCAAGTCTGTGGTAGCATAACCGGCTTGGCAATTTATACTGTTTCTTTTCAGGTATGAACCATCCACAAACTAGGGATATCCAAAGGAGTATCTAAAAGATCCGCAAGGAGCATGGATAGTTTTATAACAGGTAAAGCAACCATGGGGTTCTCCGTTGGTAGGAAAAGGAAGGAGGGTGGCTGGGTTTAGAGTATTGCAGCAATGCAATTTATGGAGTAAATGCTTTTCATATTGGTGTGTGAGGGGAAGGCAACAGTGTGTCACAGGAGGTGACATGAAACCAAATCTCATTAGGCAGCTAGGGAAAAATGAGAATGTTCTGTCTATAAAAGTCTGTACAGCACAGGGAAGTTTAGTGGAGACCTGAGAACTAAGTCCATTGAAGCTTCCTCCAGCTTTGCTGCTGCTGCTGCCATGAGCAGCGGACATGCCTTGTTACTGCTGCTAAGGATTATGGGCCTCTGGTCAGTGCCCTGCTGAGCCATAGTGGAGCCTGTGCCCTTAGGTACATGTTTTTATGTATTTGTTAAATGGTTACTTTTTTCCAGAACATATTTAAAAAGTGGAAAAGTATTTAAAAATGGAAAAGTAGGTTATTAAAACTCACATTCTTTTTTTTTTTAATATATTTTATTGATTTTTCACAGAGAGGAAGGGAGAGAGATAGAGAGAGTTAGAAACATCGATGAGAGAGAAACATCGATCAGCTGCCTCCTGCACATCCCCCACCGGGGATGTGCCCGCAACCCAGGTACATGCCCTTGACCGGAATCGAACCCGGAACCCCTCAGTCCGCAGGCTGACGCTCTATCCACTGAGCCAAACCGGTTTCGGCGCATTCTTTTAAGCTCAAATATTTTATTTATAGCAAAATGAGTTTATTATAATTTAGCGTTCCTGAGTTTAATAAAAGCAAATTCATCCAGAAGCAATAAAAGACTAATACATTTCTTTATATGAAAATAAAATTATTATAAGAAAACAGGAAAAGTCTAAAATAAATGATAAACTGAGAGAAACTGTTTTGACATGTAACATACATAAATGTATAACATCTCTAATACACAAGCTCTTTTAAAAATTGAGGGGGAAAAGTTGCAAAAACGTGATAGATAAGTCAAAGACATGAACAGATGATTCACACACACACACAAAAAAAGAATAAAAAATGTTCTTTGCCGTAGCCAGTTTGGCTCAGTGGATAGAGCATTGGCCTGCAGACCAAAGGGTCCCGGGTTTGCTTCCGGTCAAGGGCACATACCTTGGTTGCAGGCTCCTCCCAGGCCCCAGCCCTAGTCAGGGCTTGTACAGGTGGCAACCAATCAATGTGTTTCTCTCACGTTGTTGTTTCTGTCTGCCTTTCCCTCTCTCTTCCACTCTCCCTAAAAATCAATGAAAAAATATCCTCGAGTGAGAATTAACAACAAAGAAAAAAGGTTCCATAAGTATATGAAAAAATATTCAACTACTTAATAAGAAAAATGCACATTAAAATAACACTGAGATATTATTTCTCACCTATCAAATTAGCAAAAATTAAAAAGTACACCAACACATTCTGTTGGTAAGCCTGGGGGGAAATAGGTGCTCTTAAAGATAGATGGTCAGAATGCAAATTAGTATAATGTTAATTTGAGAGAATTGGGCAATATCTAACAAAATGACACATGCTTTTCCACTTAACTGCAGTTTACCCTGGTCAGACATCTCCAGTTGTACAGAATATGTATGCCCAAAGTAATTCACTTTAGCATTGTAATTGCAAAATACTAGAAATAACCTAAATAATTTACATGGGAGAATGGCTGGTGTTGCTTGTCTGGTTGTGCTGCTTTCTTGGGCCTGGAGCTGAAGTACAACTGAGGCCTAGAAGTTATCTTCAGGGAAGAAAGGTGGTGGGGGGGGTGGGGGGGGGGGCGGGCCTAAACCCCATAACTAGCAATATGAAAAGCTAGGGGGTCCAAACTGCATGACCAGTGATATGCTCAGGGAGGAAAGGCTACCCTGGGGACGATGAGGTTCTTGTTTTCCCAGTTTTGCCCCTTGCTAAGCATCTAGGACTTTTCACCCTGGTGACCTTCTGTACCTGGCCCCTCGCCCTTGCTA